ACAGGGGAGCTGGCTGTGTTCCCAGCTTCAGGCGTCAGCCCCAGCCCAGCTCTGGCTGTTCAGGCACTTGAGGAGTGAAACAGTAAGTAGGAGCTCTCTCTCTCTCTGCCTCTCAAACAAAGTTTTATTTTACTTCATTTTTAGATTTTTTTTTTTCAGAGAGAGAGAGGCTGATCTCCTGCCTGCTGGTTTACTTCCCAAATGCCCCCAGTAGCAGAGGTGGGGGTTGGGGTGGGGGTCAGGCTGAAGCCCAGAGACCAGAGCTCAATCCTGATAACCCAAGTAGGTGGTAGGAACTCAACTACTTGACCCGCCATCTGCTGCTTCCCGGGGTGTACATTAGCAGGAAGCTGGGATGAGTTGTGGAACCAGGACTCAAACCCAGGTACTGCAGTATGGGATATGAGAATCCCAAACTGCATGTTAACTGATCTGCCTAAATAATTGTTTTAAAATAAGTGACCTAGAGTAGCAAGAGGGACCAGGGAGTTAGAACCCACACCTCTTCCGGATAGCTCCCCAGGTCTTGCTTCTCCCCAGAGAGAAGCCTCTCCATTTACCCCCAGTGCTAACAAAAGAGTCCACCCCGCATTCTGCAAGGGGTTATCAGTTATCCGTCGCCACGATGATGCTGCACAGCCAACAACCACAGACCCTCCGGGGCATTCCACAGCAAGCATTCCTGGCTTGAGCTTTTGGGGTCAGCTGGGGTCAGCTCTGCTGATCTTGGCAGGGTTCACCCGTGAGGCTGGGGCTGGCTGGCTGTCAGCTGGGGAAGGCTGGCCTTGCCTTGGACGACTCGAGTGACGGCCTTCTTGAGGTCTGGGCTCAGACCTGCCACCCCATCACTTATGCAACATTCTTTTGGCCAAAGCAAGTCACACGGGTGGGCCCAGCTCCAAATGGCGGACAACAGATTCCACTCATTTAGTGAGGGAGACTGAACAGTAAGGTGGAAAAAACTGTAGCTGGGGTGAGAGGTGCAGAATTGGGTCACCCAAGAATCTCATTATCACTGGAGAAATGTCCCCAGGCTCCAAAAGTTCAGACGAGCCCTTGTTCTCCAACCAGAGGTAAAGAAGGATGCGTAGCTATTTGAGTAACTCTACCTGTGTGGGCATAAGGAAGCAGAGCTGGGTTCAGCCAGTGACCAGGAAATGAACAGTTGGAGGAGAAATGTTCTGCCAGGTGTGGTCCTCCCGGGTGCTCTTCAGAGCCGTCGGGCAACCAGTACCCAGCAAATGTCATCCATAACCAGAGAAGCGTGAGTGTATGTGTACCTTGTATCAGCATCGCAAGGCCACAATGTGGCCGGAGCAGCCATTCCCAACCTCAGGAGCTCCACGCTCCCAAGGCTGCGAGAGGTGACGGCATTCCTAGGTTCATTCTGCAGAAAAATCAGCGCTCAGACAGGGTCTAGTCTCTGGCTCTCTCTGCCCTCCCAGCCGCCTCCGTCAGACTGCACCCGGCGGTCCCTGCAGCACCCATGAACATGCCATTCCAGGGGCAGTGTGTGGACATCCAGTCCAGCCATTTCCAGGAGGTGATGACTCGCGTTTCTCTGCCAGTTTGGACGGCAGATCCTCACCAGGCAAGGCCACAGTTGGATTCCCCTGGCTGGGGGATCAGCATTAGCCGCTGAGCGAATGTGTGCTGCAAGACCTCACTTGTCTCCAGATGCACTGATTTTGCTTCTTGCAAAATTCCTGGGCAATTGTTACGACTACTTGGATGCATTTCCAAGAGGGGCTGGTAACACCGCAAAGGTGAGAAGCCAGAAAGCGAGTGAAAGGCAGCAATGCAACAGTTACTGTACGAGAAGAGGCAGAGGGAGGCCGCAAGCTTCCTGCTCCTGCTGCAGAAGCTGTGAAACATCACCACTCACACCCCATGGGAGGAAACCCAAGAAGGAGAAGGTCTGGGAACCACTGGGCAGCGAAATAAAAATGTCACCACGCTATCAGTGGCCTGCAAGGAAGGGCAGGGTGCGGAATCAGGAACGCCGGGGAAGCGAGGCTGGCAATGGAGACAACCCGCTGTTGCCACCCATAAACACATGTCCGGGGCCTCTGCTAAGAACCAGATTTGCTGCCGGAATGTTGGTCTTCTAAGCCTCCTCCCCATTCAGACGGCAACGTACTAAATAGGAAAAGAAATGTGTTTCTTGAAAAAGAACATCTGGACTTTTCCATCACACGTTCACATGTACCTTCATTGACATCTACTGGGTTTTCCACTCTTGCAACTGACGGCACTTGCTCTCATTCGAGGCTATCTACTGAGAATCAATGATGTAAACTCCAACAGGGATTTGCAACTGAAATTCTCTGTCAAAATATATGACTTGGGACACATCCGTGAAAACGATCCTCACAGCCATAGAAAAGACAAAATCATAGGGACAGTGTGAGTGACAAAAGGGAGCCCCTGATACAACTCAGGAGAGTGGAGCTCAGGTCTCCAGGCAAGCTGAGAATGGCTGATAGTAGAAGAGCATGGTCCAGTGGAGCTTTCTATGACAATAGAAATGTTCACCTGCACAATGTGGTAGCCAGTGGCCACATGTGACTATTGAGTACTTGAAATGTAGCTAGTGCAATTGAGGAAAGAGATGGCTATTTTTTTTAAATCCAATTAATTTAAAATTTAACAGCCACCTGTGTCCACCATCTCCCACGTTGGACTCTGCAGGTCGCCAGCTTCCTCTATGAAATCGTATCTCGCTCTGTCGTGTTCACCAGTGTTTCCTGTGTCCAGTTAAGCAGCTTGGCGTGTTGGGCTGTGGTCGCCTTCCCTGTGGCAGGGACTCAGGGATGCAGGGTTGATGGAACACTTGTCATTTTGGAGGCAGCCAGACTGTGGGGGAAATCTCAGCATGAGAGAACTTGGAACTGAGCCTGCAAGTGCCTACGGGCCAAGGTGGTTGGGAAAAGGAAGTTGCATGAGGAGATTGCTAGATTTCTGGAGTCTGCCCTCATTGGAATGTGCCTTTTAGTGGCAGAAAATGAGCCGGCCTTTTGAGGAAAGAGGAGGTGGCTGCATCAGTGTGTTGTCCCCACAGTCGGAAGGAGAGGAGAGGGAGGGAGGAAGAGCAAGCAGCAGAGACGCTAGGCAAGGCCTTTCAGAACTCAAACAGGAGGGGTCAGAAAAGTTGTTCTCTCCCATGACTTTCTTCTCTGTGCAAAGTGACCCTCCAGCGCCATGACAATGTTGTGCAAATATGCATGGTGTTTTTGATTAAGAATCAAAACAAAATGATGGAATTGCAGGAAAAAAAATCTGGCCACTGTCTAAAGTGAATTCTAGGATTCCTGATCCTGTGTATCCCAGAAAGAGAGGAACCCTGTGTGAAGATGCTGATGGATGGGATGCTACAGAGATCATTCCCAGCTGCCAATGAGGGGACACAGTCAGGAATGGGAGACTGGACTGGGAAGCTGACTTGGAGCTATGAGACAAAGCCTCGGTAATGGATCCCCATGTTGGGATGGTTCCACAGTGCCTTCCAAAGGAGTCCAATCAGTGACCTGTCCAAGGATGCATCTGTGTGACAGCTGGTGGCCAGGCGGGGGGACATGCACCCTATGGTGATGGCTATGGGGACAGCGCTTGAGGGAGACACAGGTATGAACATAGTGCTCTTGGCTCCTTATTCATTCCCCCAGACCAGCCTGGCCCCAAAGTCACAGCTTGCCAATCTCAACCTAGTCACAAACTTCCTTAAGCAGTTCCCTGTCGTGTTTAAACAGATCCACCTTTTCTTCCTAAGCAGCTCCGCGTTCAGTACATGATTGTTGTCTTTCTGGGTCCGTGGAAAGAGGAGTTAACAACACGGAATGGAAAACATGTTGGATTCTTACCTCGTCTTACTGCAAGAGTTTAAGAGTTAGAGGAACAGTCTGCACCAGATGACTCTCACTTCTGACAGCAATTTTAAGTTTACTGGGTTCCCCAAAGCACATTCATTTTTGGTAATTTGCAAAAAGGACTCACAGAGCTCACTGGAAGTTGTTATGCTCATGATTGCTAGGGTTTATCCCAGTACAAAGAAATAAATTAAAATGAGCCAAGGGAGGAAGATCATTTTGTGGGATCCGGGGAGGTGCCAAGCCTATGGCTTCTGTTGTCCTCTCCCAGTGGAGTCAGGAACATTGATTTCCCAGCGTTGGTGTGTAACCAGACATAATAGGCACACAGAATATTGCCAGCCATGGAAGTTCACTCAAGACTTGAGTTTTTATTGGGGCTTCATTATAAAGTCATAAATGATTGGCTGACTGCCCATGTGATTGTTGTCAATCTCTACGTCCACCCAGATGCCATTACCCAAAGCCCCCACCTGAAACTATGTGATTGGTCTTTCTGGTTTCTGCTCCAAGATATGGGCAGCCTCACCCATAAATCATACTATTAGACCATGCAGTGTGACCCATGGCTCCCAGGCAAACCAAGATACTTCTTTCAGGAATAACATTTCACAGGCTTCTGGAGTACTTCCCAGAAGCCAAGATCAAAGGTCAGACTGCTTTTGGGACAAGGTTAAATTCTTTACTACGTACTCACGCATAGCCATAAACTCAAGGTGGCATGAAGATCTAAAAATGAAACAAGTTAAAGAACCAGAATAAAATATGAGTAAAAGTTCTACAAATCCCGGGACATAGATGTCTGTCTACATATGTCATTAAGCCTATAAAGCCCGATGGAAAATATTAAGTACACAAAAATGAAAAACTTCTGAAATAACAGACACCAGAAATGAAATGAAAAGATAATCAAAATTAGAGAATGCATTCACATGATGTTTAAGTCAACAAATTGACATAAAAAGACAAGCAATGCATTAGATAGGGGTACACACTCCACAACAAACAGGAAATTAACAGAAGAAATAAATATACTATTGAGGAAATATACTGTACATGTAGATTAGTACAAACGTGCAGGGGGATAGTTTGTTTAGAGTCATTAAAATGTAAAAATTGTAAATGACATTTTACCTGTATGAATATGACTTACTGAAGTTGGTCACAAGCTCAGAAATGAGGGTATCCCAATGAGGAAACATTCACACATCTTACTTCCTGTCCTAGTCCCAGAGCCTGTAAAGGCGAACCCTTCTGAGTTCCAGAAGGAGCTGTCTGAGGGTCAGTAGAGGATTTCTGTACACAAGAAAGGGAATAAAGAAATGAGGGCATGTGCATGCACTTGCACACAATCTTATTTGCAATAGTGATAAGCACTCTAAATATCTAATCCACATAAATAGATGCTATGCCATAGCCTACAAACAACAAGGTAGATCTCTACAAACTGATGTGAAAAAAGACCCATTACATATTCATTAAATAAGTTAAGTTACAAAAGAATATTTATAGCTTGATTTTGCTTTTGTATATAAAAAGTAGATAATTATCAGAGTATTTCAAACGATTTGTGGAAAAGTGGAATTAAAAGATAAACTTAATCCACTGTTGGTGGGAATGTAAACTGGTAAAATCACTTTGGAAGACAGTTTGGAGATATCTCAGGCATCTGAATAAAGTCCTACTACACCACCCAGCCATCCCACTCCTGAGAATTTACCCAAGGAAAATGAAATCAGCAAATAAAGGAGTTATCTGTGCCCTCATGTTTATTGCAGCTCACAACTTACAATAGCTAAGACATGGAATCAACCTAACTTCAGACTATCATCTGAAGTCTGAATAAAGAAATTATGGGATATGTACTCTATGGACTACTACACAGTGATTTAAAAAAATGAAATCCAGTCATTTGCGACAAAATGGATGCATCTGGAAAACATCATACTTAGTAAAATAAGCCAGTCCCAAAGGGACAAATACCATATATTCTCCCTGATCTATGATAACTAACAGAGCACCTAAAAGGAAACCTATAGAAGTGAAATTGACACTTTGAGAAGCAATGTAACTATGAAGCTGTATAGTTATGCATACATTTCTACGGATTTAATTCTAAGGGTGCAGATAAAAACTTGCCATGGGGGCCTGGCGCTGTGGCTCAATAGGCTAATCCTCTGCCTGCGGCGCTGGCACACTGGGTTCTATTCCTGGTCGGGGCGCCGGTTCTGTCCCGGTTGCTCCTCTTCTAGTCCAGCTCTCTGCTGTGGCCTGGGAAGGCAGTGGAGGATGGCCCCAAGTCCTTGGGCCCTGCACCCGCATGGGAGACCAGGAGAAGCACCTGGCTCCTGGCTTCAGATCAACGCGGTGCACCAGCCACAGCAGCCATTGGGGGTTGAACCAACAGAAAAGGAAAACCTTTCTCTCTGTCTCTCTCACTGTCCACTCTGCCTGTCCAAAAAACAAACAAACAAACAAACAAAAACCACACACAAACAAACAAAAAAACTTGCCATGGGACTCCTAATCCCATTAAGCTGGGTGATAATAATGCCATCCTAAGTGTTAAAGTGATCATATTAAGTGTTAAATTGATCATATAGATAGGATTAAGTGTTAAAGGAATTATATAAATGAGAAATTCCTTATGGGTTTCCCATGCGGTTGGCAAGGACCCAGAGAGTTGAACCATCTTCTGCTGCCCTCCCAGGAGCATTAGCAGGATCAGAAATAGAGCAGCTGGGACTCAAGTTGGCATTGGCTATGGGTTAGTGGCATCACAGGACATAGGTTCACCTAGTGTATCACAATGCCAAAGCCCCTCAGGTTGGATCTGGACCAATACTATATATTTATATATTAGATAGATAGGTAGCTGGATAGACAATAGATAGATAGATAGATGATGGATATGCATGTCGTGTACAATGTGAGGAATATTTTCTGATGGGAAAGCTGTGTTTCTGTTTGTCCCCTTGGCGGCCCTCATACCCTCAACTGGCTGCCCTCAGGGCTACGATGCTCCTCTGTCACAGCCTGGCCCACTTGGGAATGAAACTCTACTTCATCTTTGTCCCCTCAGCATGGCTCAGATAGCCGGAAACATGAAAAAAAAATGCTAAGCCAAAGGGAAATAAACAGAACCCCCACAGATCAAAACAAGATAATTTCCAGAGAAGGCAGGGATCTCCCCAGAGCCCACTTGATTTGGGGAATCCTTGGATTCCATCACACGTCTAGGATTTACTGGATGCCACCTTGAAACTGCGTCCATGGGAAAGCCTTCTGTAGACTGTTAGACCTGTTGAATCCCAACAGGAATGGGAATCAAGGTGAGGAAGAAGAGAGAACAAATATTTCAGCTTTGCCTACCCCGTACTGGGATTTAGTTTGCAAACATCATCTCACTAAATCCTTACAACAGCCTATGAGAAAAGGGAAACTCAAAGATGTTAGGTGAAGTTCCAAAGGTTACACAAGTGCCCACTATATAGGAAAACCAGGACTCAGAGTAGTTCCATTTCATTGTTGGACTTGAGCTGTACTTGTGGAATTCTCTTGAGATGGATCCGCTCTGTCTGCTTCCTGAATTAGTCACTCACTGCTATAGAAACAACCCCGAGATCTTTGTGCTCACAGCAAGAAACACTTCCCACTCACAGGTGTGTGTCTTGGCTCTGGATTGCCTGTGGGTGGCCTGGGCTTCGCTGAACCTGGTTGGCATTGGACTTCAGATCTGGCCAAGGTCTGGTATGTGTCATCATTCTGGTTCTGAGGCTGAAGAAGCAGTGACTATGAGGTCATGTTCTTCCCACCATGGATGGCAGGTTCTCAAGAAGAGGGGCAATTTGCCATGTTGCTTACCGCCTAAGCTCAGAACTGGTACACTGTCATTCCCACCATATACCATTGGTCTATAGTCCGAAGACAAAGTGGGGCAGCGAAGTGCCCTCCTTCCATAGGGAAGAAGAAAAAGAGTGAATATTTGTTCCTCCCTAAAGTTCTGACTCCAAATTTCAACTTCTCTCCTGAGACATATATGGGCATTCAGGGAATGTGTTGTTTCCTTCCTACAGAACCCTGTTCAGCTGGCAGCAGTGTGTTCCTGAGATAATCAAGCATCCTTAGAACAGTATGATCATTGTATCCATTATCTGTTGTTGAGCAATAAACCACCAGAAAACTTAGTGTCTTACAATGACAATAATCATTTATTTTGTTTGTGAAACTGTAACGTGGGTAGGGCTCAGTGAGGCTGGTTTGTCTCTGTCCCACATGACATCGGATGGAATGGCTTGCAGGTTGGGGTGACTTGACATCTTGGAGCTGTCATCATCTGAAGATTTGCTTCAGTTACTCACACACCTGACAGTTGATATTGACTGTTGTTGATCTTACCTGTCAATCAAACAAACACCTACATATGTCCTCTCCCTGGTTCCCTTGGACTTTCTCAAAGAATGGTGGTGAAGTTTTAAGTGTTAAGCACCCTAAGAGGACACAGCAAAAGTGCATGGAATTTTTAAAATTTTATGATGAACGCTCAGAAACCAAAGCTTTACTTCTGCCACTCTTTACTGATTGGGTGGTTCAAAAAGTCCACCTGGGCTCAGGTGGTGGAGCATGGGTCTCTACCACTTAAAGGGAGGACTATAGGACTGTCAAAGTCACATTGTAAGGTGAACGTGTGGGATGGGATATAACGTAATGGCCATCTTTGGAAAATGTCTGACAAAGTCATTAACAAAAACTCAAGTCATCCAGTGGAGAAGAGAGCTATTTGTTTTCTAGGATCAATGAAAAAAATTCATGATAAATATAGTCAATCTTTCAGTTTCTCTTATGGGAGCTGAAAAATCCCTCCTTTACAATTGCTGTGGGAGCAGCCACACTCATACTTCATGGCCCTACTGATCACAGTTGTCGGGACCTAGCCAGCTCTGGGTAAACCGGAGGTAAATCTGAGTAGAATGACATGGCCTCGGTCTGTGGGCTGGAAGGTTTTGAGTAGGTTTAGAAACTGAGGCGATCTAGCAATCATAGGTTTTTCTCATCAGGAAGTTTGGAGAATTCTATGCATAACTCTCAATAGTTGTTCTAGGGTCAGTATGAAGAAGGAGGGTGAGTTTGTGACTCCTGTGTCCCAGGCACTCTGCTACATGCTTTACATTTAACCCCATGTTTAACCCTCCCTGGTGGCTATGATTCCAAGTAGACAATAGTATTCCCATTTGAGGACAGAGGAGTTCAGTACCTTCTCATGACCACAAACCTAGATGTGGTTTTTAGCCTAGCATCTGGGTTTGATGCCCAGCTCAAGCTCTTGACTCCAGCTTGCTACTAAAGAAGACCCTCCAGAGGAGGATGGCCCAAGTGCTTGGGCCCCTGCACCCACTTGGGAGACTGGGAGGAAGCACCTGGCTCTTGGCTTCGCATCTGCATAGCTCTGGCCGTAGTGACCATTTGGGGGTTGAACCAACGGAAGGAAGACCTTTCTCCCTGTATCTCTCTCTCACTGTCTAACTCTGCCTGTCAAATAAAAAAAAGACCTTGGGAGGCAGTAATGATGGCTCAAGTAGTTGGCTTCCTGCTACATGAGAGACTTGAATTGAGCTACCAGCTCCTGGCTCCCAGCCCAGCCATGTACATTGTGGGCATTTGGGGAGGAAACTCATGGATGGGAGTACATGCTGTTTCTCTCTCTCTCTCTTTTAAAAAAATTTTTAAAAGAAAGACTATACATACATCTGATAAATAACAGAACTATAATATGATCTCAAAGAAGATGTGACTGTGCCAACTCTAATATTCTCTGATTCGGAAAAAGCCAGTGTCACAACATAGAGGAGAAAGACATATCAATCCTATATGTAAGCAGATGGCGGAGATGTCGTTAACAGCAGTGAGAGGGGAATTTGTTACCTGAAAACAGAGATTTTGGAGACTTTTGCTCAGTCTTGCAGCTTGTCAAACGACTAGTGACCTAGGCAAGTTGGTCACCCCAAAACCAGGTGTCACAGCAGCTGCGTTTCAGTCTGTCTGCAAACCCTCCTGTGATTCTGCTTGCATTTGGAGGTGACAAGTGGGAAAGCCTGAGGGAACTCCCTTGTCAAAGATGAGCCTGACTCCAGCCCCTCTTCTCTGACTCCAAGATCTTTAGAGGATAAGAGAGGGAGGGTTTTTTTTGTTTGTTTGTTTTGGTTTGGTTTGGTTTGGTTTTGACAGGCAGAGTGGACAGTGAGAGAGAGAGACAGAGAGAAAGGTCTTCCTTTGCCGTTGGTTCACCCTCCAATGGCCGCCGCGGCCGGCGCGCACTGCGGCTGGCGCACCGCGCTGATCCAATGGCAGGAGCCAGGTGCTTCTCCTGGTCTCCCATGGGGTGCAGGGCCCAAGGACTTGGGCCATCCTCCACTGCACTCCCTGGCCACAGCAGAGATCTGGCCTGGAAGAGGGGCAACCGGGACAGAATCCGGCGCCCCGACCAGGACTAGAACCCGGTGTGCCGGTGCCGCAAGGCGGAGGATTAGCCTAGTGAGCCGCAGCGCCGACCCGAGGGAGATTTTAAGAACTCTCGAAGCCCAGTTGACACTCTAGATCAATTACACCAAGATCTCTAGGTCAAGGCTCAGGGATCGGTATCTGTGAAGGTCTCTGGGTGACTCTAATGCAGCCAAGTTTAATGCTGTGAGAGCTCAGGGGAGCTTGTGTCTAGAAAACAGGGCTGGCACTCCCAGGAACCCTCACCGTCACTGCACACTCTCCATATGCCTTCACGTATTCCCCCTTCTTGTGCTGGCCGTGAGTGGGGAGCCCCTTCTTCCACACCTCTTGCCATGCTGTATTTCTTTCGTAGCCCGGTTTTAGCACCCGAGAGGATAATCTACACGGATTTCTCTACCCCTTTCTTATCTGTCCTCCACTATAGTGGAAGCTCTCTGGGTCAGCACTGCTGTGTTGCACAGCCCTAGAAGATGCTATCCATGTACAACACGGGGAGAACGGTGCCCCTGGGGTTGTGTGGGTAGAAGTCCCACAGAGGGGTTGAAAGTTTGTCTTGTTCATGGTTATTTCCCAAGTGCCTAAAACATAGTTGTTGAATGAGCATTTTTTGAATGAATGAACTTAAGATAGTATGTTCTTTGGGACCATCTGGTAGCCCTGCAGCCTGGGACCTTGGCTCTGATGCTGATCATCCTCTTCATCACCATCATCTTCTTCATTTTCACCACCACCGCCACCATCACCATCATCAGGTTTTTAAACCTAAACATAAAATTTCCTTTGAAGACAGGATTCCATCCATGACCAAGACAAAAAGTTTAAAAACAAATGCCCTGTTAAGGTGAACCAATGTTCACCTCGCCTCAAATCTGCCTCCCCTACCCCGGATGGCTTTGCAGCCACAAAAATTTGAGCTTAGACTCTGCCTTCATCATTTACTATCAGTAAGACCTGGAGAAAAGTACGCTGAAGTGGTTAAAAAAATGACTTACCAGACTATTGTAGGTTAAAAGAAGTCATAAATATAGTACCTATGACAAATATATGTGAGGGATCTTGTATATTATGAAAAAAACAGGGCAGGTGCTGTGGCATAATGGGAAAAGCTACTGCTTGCAGTGCCGGCATCCCATATGGGCACTGGTTCAAGTCCTGGCTGCTCCACTTCCAATCCAGCTCTCTGCTATGGCCTGGGAAAGCAGTAGAGGATGGTCCAAGTCCTTGGGCCCCTGCACCCATGTGGGAGATGGAGGAAGCTCCTGGCTCCTGCCTTTGGATTGGCACAGCTAAGGCCGTTATGGCCATCTCTCTCTCTCTCCTTCTCTCTCTCTTTCTCTCTACCTCTGATTCCCTGTGACTTTGCCTTTCAAATAAATAAGTAAAATCTTTAAAAACAAACAAAAGAAAAAAACAGCATGGATTTCAAAAACTTTCGTACCAACATAAGCTTATCTTTTCATTCCACTTTTCCATGAACCTCTTGAAATACTTTTCCATATGAAAACATGACCATTTCTGCTAGCAATCAGGGAAGTGCAAATTAAAACAAGGCGATTTTGGGGGACGGTGTTTTGGTATAGCCGGTGAAGCCACTGCCTGTGACACTGGCATACCATACTGGCGCTGGTTTGAGGCCGGGCTGCTCTGCTTTCTCTCCTTGGGCTTGGGCCCGTGCACCCACGTGGGAGACACAGATGAAGCTCCTTGCTGCCCTGGCAGCAAGTCTAGACCACAGAACAGGAACAGGACTCAGCACTGCCCGCTGGCCGCCTCTGCCACACAGAGCCTCAGTGCTGGTGAGGATGTGACTCAGGGAGTTCTCTTATATGCAGCTGATAGGATTTCACTGGGCTCTCCCACGTGGCTGGCAGAGGTCCAAGTGCTTGGGCCATCTTCTGTTGCCTCCCAGGATGCGCATTTGCAGGAAGCCGGGTCTGAAGCACAGTAGCCAAGATTCAGATCGGCACTCCACTACAGGACATGGATGTCCCAAGCGACAACTTCACCTGCCGGGCCGTAGCACCTGCCCCCGGGACTCACACTCTGAAGATCATACTTTAATTCTATTCCTAGCTATATACCCCAAAGAATTTAAAACAGGGACTCAAACAAATGTTTGTATGCAAATGATCATAGCAGCATTAGTCATAATAGAAAATGCTGAAATGACACAAAGTTACCAACAGACAAATGAATAAACAAAATGTGCTTTACAGATGGGGCAGAATATTATGCAGCCATGAAAACTAATGAAGTTTTGACACCTGCAAAATGC